TGTCCTCTCCCATGTCTAGACACTCCCTTTCTTTTCACTGAGTACAGCTCTGGGCTCAAAGGGCACCAGTAAGTGTTCCTCTCTCAGGGACAGCAGCGTGATTTTCTTTTACATTCCCAGCAACGCACAGTAGTCGGACAAGGTGATCTGAACCTGGGGAAGAAAAAAGACAGCAAAGAATGAAGCAGCAGGGAGGCTGCTGGAATTAGGACAGTGTTTTTAACCCTCTATTAATGATTCTTCCTTCTCTCCTAGGTCGCAGAGGCAGTTCTTGCCAGCGGAGAGAAATTACCTGCAGATGTGATAGTGGTGGGAATAGGTAAGAGGCCCCAGTTGGGAGAGTGAGGCACTTTGGGAATGGAGAGAACAGCCAGCAAGCCCAGAGCACCACAGTTCATTCCCAGCACACCATTCCCTGCAGCTTCTTTCCCGTTCTGTTATCACCCAGCCCTTCCTCCTGGCCCCAAACACCTGGAGAAAGTCAGCAGCTCATGAGCAAGCACTTGGCCTTGGAGGAAGGGAGCCAGTTACACTCCCAGAGCGCCTTTGGCTCACTTGCTGAGCTCCATAGGTCACTGCTGCGTTACTGGAGCGTGCCGTGTCCTGGGCCCTGGTTTTATTGCCCCTGGATTAGCTCAGCACCAGCCCAAGCACAGCTCATGCTGTGATTGCTGAACAGAGCAAGTGCTCTGCTCTGAGCAGGCACCACAGGCATTTCCTCCCTGCCTTTTTTTCCTACTCCTCTCCCTGTAGGGTCGACCCCCAACTCAGCGTTTCTGAAGGGCACCTCCATTGCCAGAGATGACAAAGGTGCCATCCTGGTGGATCTGGTGAGTGCCAGCCGAGTAACCCAGGTCCAACCCCATCCCTTCACTCTCATCCTTGCACTCACTGCTCTTTGTCCCGTTAGCACATGCAAACCAACATCCCAAACGTCTTCGCTGCGGGGGACGTGGTGTCCTTTCCAGTAGCGCTGCTCAGCGGTGACCGGTCCAGCATCCATCACCAACAAGTGGCTGAGGCCCACGGTGAGAGCTCAGCCACCTCACCTTCCAGCTCCCCTGGAGGAAGGAATGGGGCAGAAGGGACAAGACAGGACAACAAGAGGCAGCGAACACTTCTTTGAGCACCTTCGAGAAAAGTATTTCCTCTGTTGGCTCATCACAGGTCACTGTGCTGCCTTAAACATGCTGAAGAAAGAGAAGGAGTTGCACACTGTTCCCTTCTTCTGGACCACTTTGTTGGGGAAAAGCATCCGCTATGCAGGTAGGAGGTGGCAGAGAGGTGGGAACAGCAGAACTGCTTCCCTGCCCATTGCTCACCCACCAGCTGGGCCTGGGGCTTGTAAACACGGTGGTTGCAGAGTTCACCCGAAGCACCTCGAGTTTTGGACTGGCTGCCATGGCGAGTTTGAGCTCTGGGCCTGAATGTTACCCAGAGCTCTTGTTCTTTGCTGATCTCAAGTGGCTTAGAGGTCACGAAGAAGAAGAACCTCCCTCTCCAAGCCAAGGAAAGGCTCAGGGTCATGATGCAATCATGCAGCTCTGAATCAGTTCTGCTTGTCCAGGAACTTCATGCCTGCTCCCCAGCCCTGCCCCAGCCCGTCACTGTCCCCTCTGTCCCTACCTGTGATGGCTTTGAGGTGTGGGAGTGGTGGCAGCTGCTGTGCCAGGGCTCCCCAAGCAGGCTGTGACACTCTCTCTCACAGGCTGTGGAAAGGGATACACGGACACTGTTGTGAAGGGCAGCCTGGAGCAACAGAAGTTCCTGATCTTTTACCTCAGGTGAGTGAATCCATGGCCAGTCCCTGCCCTGACAAGGCAGTGCTGGGGGAACAGGGCAAGGTTCTCTCCCTTACAGCCTGCAGAGATCCTGCAGAGGCTCCACATCACCTCCTGTGGCTGCTGGGCGCTGAACCAGCAGTGAGACGGTTCCAGGGAAAACCAAAGCAGGGCAGGGAAGGAGAAGAGGATGAGCTTCAATGAAGACACCAGCTGGGCAGGGAGCCTGGGACACGTCTCCTCTCCCTCTGCCCCGCTGCTCCCAGGCTCGGTGCCCAGCTCCCAGCAGTGCCAGGCGATCTGCCACAAGTCCCCGTGCATCCTGCAGCACCAGCCACTCTGCCCTGAGCCCCCTGAAGTACAGCTGGTCTCCAGTCAGGGTGCCACGAGGACGCTGCCGTGCTGAGCTGTGTACGCTGAGGAGATCCACATTCTTCCTCTTTCCCTCTCAGGAACGGCCATGTGACAGCAGCTGCCAGCCTGAACTGCGACCCCATGGTGTCCCTCATTGCAGAAGTTTTATACTTGGGGAAACTAATCTCCAAAGAAGAAGCAGAGTAAGTGACAGCCTGGCCGAGCTGGTGGGTGGCTCTGTGCTGTTCCCCACGCCAGCAGAGCCCACTGAGAGACACAAATCCCCAACCTACCTCTTGTTTGCAGGGCCTGCGACATAGGCAACATACCCTCGCTGGCACACACCTGAGCTTGGTACCTGCCCCTGTGAGGGGCACACATCCAAGGGTTAACAGCTCCGCATCCTCCCATCCTGGAGAAATAAAACCATCAGCAAAGCCGAAATCAGCGCCTGCATTTTGTGTTTGCAGACTCGCTCCTCGCTCGTGTGCTTGGGTGAAGCACAGCAGAGCTTTCCCTCCTCGTCTAATGATCTGCTGGGCTGGAAAAGAGGAGGATGCCCATGGCCTGAGGCTTAGCTGGGAGTCTGCGCAGGCAGCAGCCACCACACATCCACAGATCCACCCGCCACAGATAAAACCAGCTCCTCCTGTTCCTCCCCTGTTGGCAGGGAGCTTTCATCCAGCACACCGGTCACGCTGACCTTCTCCTTTGCAAAAGCACATTTCCCCAGCAAGGGGAGCTGCGAGCGAGACAAGCTGCTCTCCCGGCTGGGAACGGGGTGGTCTGTGCGCAGGAACTCGCACGGAATACCCTGCCCCTGAAGACAGAAACGCCACCCGACCTCTGAGCCAGCAGCACCTGCTGGCATTGTCACTGCCGTCTTGAATATTGCATTAGCTGCCGCAGCGAGCGCTTCCCGCCCCTGACAGCAGCCAGCCTCCGGCAGAGAAATCCCAGCTCCAGTCAGCATCCCCTCTCCTGCCACGTCCCTGCGTGCTGGATGCTTCGGGGAGGTGGGCAGATGCTGGAGGAAAGAGTCACTGGGATTTTTGCAGGGCAACAGCGAGACAGGCTGTGCTTTCTACAGGAAACCATGCACTTACTCAGCAGTCACATGGGGCTTTGAAGGAGGAAGGATAAGTCCCAGGAGCTGGGCAAGTTCCCACAGGGACACTTACTGTCAGCCTAAACCCCCTCTGGTTTTCACAGGAGCTGCAGGGTAGCCAGAGCCCGGGCTGGTGAGATACTGCAGAGCTGGTTTTGTGTTAAATACACAAACTTGCCCTCTGGCACCTTCTTGAATATGAATTTGACCTGAAACACAACGTTTTGCATTTCCTGACCCCGTGGGCTCCCTGCTTCTGCTCAGGGCAACTCTTTGCCCTGAAATAACCACATCTTACCGTGGGGTTTCAGCAGCACAGGTTATTCCTTCACAACAAATCTATGCATGCCCTGTATCCCGAGGCACACAAGGCCAGAGGTGCTGGTGGCCAGAGCACCAGCTTCCATTCCTATCAAGCTGTGCTGCATGGGAAGGGGAGCACAGCCCAGGAAGCTGCTCCTCCCTGCCCTTGGGCACCCTGCACACACACACACCCACGACTTTCTGCCCCCTCAGTGCACTCCAGGAGGTGTTGGCCACTGAGCAGGTGCCAGTTGTTTTGTATGGACTTGCAGCAGGGCAGCTGTGGTGGAAGAGATGAGCTGGAGGAACTAATCCTGAGGGGGTTCAGCAGCCCCACACCCCTTGGGTGACAACCACCCCAAAGAAATTCAGCTTCTTGGAGCCATCAGGGAGCACACACGGAGAAGAGCAGCTTTATGGAAGAAGAAAAGACCCCAGGACAACAATCAGATTTGCTCCACTTCTACCACTTAATGGACACCAGGCTGCTTTCTGTGCTTTGCTGGGTGCCAGAGATTGGGAACAGCCCTGCCTTGGGCGGCTGGAGCCCAGGCAGGCAGATTTAGTTGAGATTGTGCAGACATTTCAGCACAGGCCGTTCCTCCCTGCCCGCCCTCAGAGCCGGGATGAGCTGTGCTCTTCCTGGCAGGCCCCGAGCAGCAGTGCCTGGACACTCCCTGATTCCCAGCCACCAAGGCAGCCTGGGGGGTGGTGGTCCTGGCAGACCCGTGGGAAAGGCACCTCCTGGAGTGCAGAGGTTCCCTGGAGCCCTTGCTGTGGCTATGCAGAGCTCGTCTCTCACTCGGTGCAAGGCAGGGAGGGGTTTCCATCCCTGGAGAGCAGCTTACAGGTTCCTTTCAGGGCAGTCTTCTGCTTCTGTCCACCAGCAAGGCAGAGCCTGGACCACGGAGAAGCCCAGCAAGATTCACCTGGGCTCCTCTCGGTGCTGCTGGCTCCAAAATACCTGGAATCCTGGTGCTGCCCCAGGGCCAGCCAGTCAGGGCTGCCCAGCCTCACAGGACAGACAGTCGTTCCTGGAACAGACGTCCAGAGCTCCAGAGTCACGCGTGACTCGGCCCTGAGTCACCCTCTCCCAGTGGCCCGGCCCCACCGCACCCGGCCCCAACCCGCACCAGGGCAGCGTGGGTGTGCAGCCAGCCCTCTCCTCAGGCTCCATCCCACTGCCTGGCATGTTGCAGGATTAATCCAGCTCCTGAGCTCAACAGCAGGTCAGACCTGTGGGCTACACCCAGCCTTGGCTCACCTCTTTGGCTCAGGGCAAACCCAGAGGACCTGAACAAGCAACCCTCCTCCGCAGACCCCAGTGTGGCATCAGGGATTGAGCTCTGGTGCTGTGGCCCCTCCAGCATCCCAAAGGGTCTACAACCCCCACCATCTACCCATCAGGCAAGTCCAGGCACCCCGTGTGCAACAAAATTCCTAAAACTGAACTGTTGAGCAAAACAGAAAGTTTAATGCCTCTTTCAGTCTCCTCTCAGCTCAGTGCCACCCCAATGCAGGGGGACCCCGCTGACAGGGCTGCCTGGCAATCCCTCAGCCAAGGCTCTGTCTGGAGGCTGTGGGGAGACTTCTTCATCCCAGCTGGACTCATCCTCAGCCCTCCAATCCACAGGACGCTGCAGTCTGGCTCATCCCGGTCGCTCGGGGCGCGGGTCTGGCTGGCATCCAAGGTCCCGGTGACAAGAAGAGAGTGGCTACATTCAACAGTTCTTCAACTGGCAGCTTTAGCTACTGGAGAAGGACATAAAGCTTGCCACTGAAGAACTGGTGCTGGTTAGCCAGGAGCAGGGGGGGCATGGAAGCACCTGGAAAGGGAACACATAGATCAGAGACAGGATCAAACCACGCTGAGCTGTCACCCACAGCAGCCAGGGCTGCTCCTCTCCCCGCCATCCACACCAGGTCCTGATCTACCACCTTGTCTTCCCCCCCCAAGGAAGCTCCTCGGGGCTGAAATCCACCCCCCATCACACAGAATCCAGAGGCAGCTGCGACCTCAACCCTTCCCTCTCCCAAAGCAGGTGGTGCGTGAGCTCCAGCACCTGCAGCCGGCCCTAACCCATGAGCGATGGGAAACCCAAGGCTGTTTCTGCTGGAAAAATAAGAGATAAGGCAGCCTGCTCCAGGCAGGGCAGGGAGGCCACTGCAGGTAGGGGTTATGGCATTCCCTGTCGGCTCACCTCGGGCATCCATCGGCGCTGGCAGGGTCCCACCTGGCCCAGGGCCAGCAGCCTCCTGACGGGGAAGACACTTTGTCAGGCGGCTGCTGCCAAGCCACCGGTGGGGGAATTTTGGGGAGTGCAGCTTTTTTTCCCCCTTGCTCCCTCCCACCACAAGTCATTTTGTTGGAGGGCAAGGACTGGTGGGAGACCCCACTGCTTCCCCTTCGGCCCAGGAAAAGTCCCCTTTCCACACCAAGCCAGCGTTTTGGCTGATTGGGGGTTGAGTTTTAAGGAACCCCCAAGGCAACCGGGCCTGGTGGGGTGGACAGACGGACCCGGTGGGGGCACAGACAGCACCGGGAAACTCCCTGGGGACCACCACAACATCCTCCTGCCGGCGTCACGCCACAAGCACGGGGGACCCCGGCTGGCCCCGGGCCTCGGTGGGCGGCGGGGGCGGCCGGACCCCGGCTGGGGGTTGCGGAGAGGCTCCCGGTGCGGGGCGCAGCGGCGGCGGCGGGGCCCGGCGGGGATGCCGAGCATTCCTGGCGTGCCGGGTACATCTGGTCCGGATTCCAGCGAGCTGGTCCCGGCCCTGCTCCACCCCCGCCGGCCCGTGAATCAGCACCCGCCGCTGAGCCACCGGCCCCGCCGGCACCGGGGGCTGGCGAGGGGGGGGCTGACGGTAACACGGCTCCCACCCACCCCTCCTCGGCACCGACAGACCACACCGGCTCTGGGAGGGGCCCCGCTGGGAGCTCGCCCCGCTAATAAAACCCGCCGTGCCCGCAGCCGGTGCCCCCCTCCCGGTATAACCGGGTCACTCCCCTCCACCAGAGCCTCCCCTCCCGGTAAAACCCACACCCCCCATCCCCCTCTAACCGAGACCGCTCCCCGCCACCGCCACTCCGTGGCCGCTGCTCCTCCGCTCCCCGGACCCCCCCGCCGCCCCTCCCGCCCCTCCGCCGCCCGGGATGCTCCGGCCGTGCCTGCGGCGGGAGCGGCCTCAGGTCAAAGTCTGCCCAGACCGGTCCCGGAGTGAAGGTCACCCCGGGGCGGCCACCGCCTGTCGCAGGAAGTCCGCGCCACGGCCCCGCCCGCCCCATCGGGATACCCCGGCGCGGGGGCCGCGCATCGGCCCCGGCCCCAAACCCCTCTCTGCACCGCGCCCTGACACCACCGGGGCGAGGCCGCCTGGCGCGGCGGCGCCGCGGGAGGGACGGGACGCGCCGCGCCGGGGCCCCCACCGCCGCCCTGCCCCGGGGGGAAGGTCACCTTCCCTTCCCGTGCCTTCCCGTCCCCGGTGGGGCGCAGCCCATAGACCCCCGGCGCACCGGCGGGCGGCTCAGCCGCTCTTACCGCGCGCCCTGTCCCCGTGCCGGCGGACCCACCTGCGGGTCCGGTCCTCCGGTGGCGGCCGTAGCCGTGCCGGGTCCTCGTGCCCGGTGCCGGTCCCCGTGCCCGGTGCCGGTCCCGGTGCCGCCTCCCCCGCCGCGCCGGCTCCGTCCCGGATCAGCTGGCGGAGTCATGACGCAGCCGCCCCCGGCCCCGCCCCTCGGCACCCGGCCCCGCCCCCGGGCCAATCGCCGGCCGGCACCGCCGCCGCGCGCCGCGCCCGCCCCCGCGCCGCGATTGACGCTTGCTCCCGCCAATGGAGATCCGGCGCGACCCGCCGCCCGGCCAATGGGAAGGGGAAGCCACCGCTCCGCCCCGCCCACCGCGCTGGGGGAGGGTCTGGTTCCCGCCTCGCCGGTCGGCGGTTGCCTTGGAAACGGGCGGGCCGCCGAGGGGCATGCCGGGAGTTGTAGTGCGGCGCGGCGCTCCCGGCATGCCCCGCGTGCTGTGAGTTGGCATTTTCAAGAGGGGGGAAGGGACGGCGGGGCCGGGGTGGCCCCGGAGGGGCCCGACCCTCCCACGGGCCCCGGGCGGGACGCAGCGCTGCCGCGGGGGCCGCCCTCGGGCGGCGCCTTCCAGTGCCCGGGGCTGGTGACACAGCCCCGATTCCGAGAAGTTGCTCCAAGTCCTCGGGCCAATCAGAAGTGAGCGCTCGGCGCGCGCGCCAATGGGCAGGCGCGGGGGGCGTGGCCGCGGGGACTCGGGTGACCCCGATGACTTGGCAGCGCCACGCGATGACTGGACAACTTCTTTAAAGGGGCCGCGCCCGCCGCGGTCGGCGGGGGAAGGGACGGCGCGCAGGGCACCAACAGCCAGCCCAGCTGAGCTCAGCTGAGCTCAGCCCAGCCCGGCCGGCCGGATCTGCGGGGCTCACCCGCTGTCCCGCGCGCAGCCACCACGCTGCTGTTCCCTCCCCGGCTGCTTAGCCGGTGGGATCAGCGGGTGCCGGGGGTGCGATGCCCCTTTAAGGCCGTCTCCTGCCCTTCGCCCCAGTAACAGCTGATTGCAGAGGGCCAGGCCGGGCGGGCCAATGAGCCGCCGCCACGTCCCGCCCACGTGACGCCCCACGCGCCGCCGCGCCATGCGGCGCTGCCCGGCGGGAGCCCCCGGCGCCCCTTAAAGGGGCCGCCCGCCGTGCGCCCGCCCGCCGCCGCCGCCCCGCCGGTGTCCCCCGCAGGCACCTCCGCAGCCCCGGCACCGCCGGAGGGCGGCGGCGGGCGGGCGGACCCGGCTCGGCTCAAAGGCAGCGGAGTTGGGCAGAGCCAAACGGGAGAGTCCAAGGGTGGCGGGGCCGGGCCGTCCCCGCTCCTCTTTACCGGCACTCACCTGCCGCCGGTGGGTGGGGTGGGGACCCCTTTAAGAGCGGCTGCCCCGTCAGCGCGGCTCGCCCGGCTCCAGCTGACAGCCCGGGGCGCCTCTGACGTCACGGTGACGTCACGCCCCCCCCGCGTCCCCGCCGTGTCCCGCCCCGCCGCTGCCCATGCCCGGCCCCGCGCCCCGGCCCCGCCGCACCGCCCCGCGCCCGCCCCGGGGAGCCCCGGCCCGGCCCCGCGCGGGCCCCGCGGGCCGCAGGTGCCGGCCCCCCCCGCGCACATGGCCGCATGTGACCGCCGTCACCTGACCAACATGGCCGGGGCCGCCCCCGCCGCGCCGCCGCCGCCGCCGCCGCTGCCAGGTAACGCGGGGCCGCCGGGGCGGTGAGGGCTCCCCCACCGCGGGGCGAGGGCTCACGGGGCCGGCCCTCGGGCCTGCGGGGCTCAGTCGGGCTCCGCACTCCCTCCCCTCCCCGGGGCGAGGGCCCTGCGGGGCCGCGTCTCTGGCCGTGGGTCGGTGCTGGGGATGCGCTCCTTGCTCTGGGCATCCTCAGCGCCACCCCCGGGGCCAGCGTGTAACCCCCACCAGCCCTGGGGGTGCAGATGATCCATCGTGCGTCCCCCAGCCCCAAGTCCCATCAAGTTCCCGCCACCAGCCCTTGTGGCTCTGGATGTCCCGTCGTGTCCCTCGCTCGAGGGTGGGGCCGCGGAGGTGCCACTGTGGCCCTCCCACCACCTGCAGAGGTCCCATCCTATCCCCTTCCCCAGCAGTCGGTTCAGGTCTTACCATGCCCCCACACTGATCCCTTCCCCAGCACTCGGACCCATCATGTGCAGATCCCATCGTGTTCACCTTCCTGTTTAAACCCCACCGTATCCTCCTGCTTGGCTGCAGAGGTTTCATGGTGTCCCTCCCTGCCGGGGTTGGTCTCTTCTCAACCCCCACCTCCTGACACAGCGACCAAGCCCTTAAAACAGCCTCTTTTCTTTGCCCGGGGTGCCAATGGGGAAGTGAGACTTGCCGCGTGACAGGGAGGGCAGGACGGTGCCGTGCTGCTCTGCTCGCTCACAGCCCCTCTGGGCCACCTTCCTCCCAGCAGGAGCCGACATGGAGAGCTTCCTGCAGAGCGTGGAGAGGGACCTGAGCATCGACCGCCGGCAGCTGGCCGCCGCCACCGACAGGACCCACGTCACCGCCTTCGTCCCCGTGAAATGGCTCTCCAGCCTCCGTGAGCGCCGGGCTCTGCCTGCCCTGTGCCCGCGGCCGGAGGGGCTGAGCGAGGTGGAGGTGAGGACGTTCCTGCAGCACTCGGTGCAGAAGCTGCCCGCGGGCTGGACCCGGGTGGAGATCCACGGGCTGCGGAAGGACCGCCTGAGGTACCCGCTGCGGGTGCAGCCCCCCAGCTCTGACAGCCCGGAGACCCTGCACGGCTTCATGCAGAGCGTGGCCACTCAGAACTACCGCAACCTGTGGTGCCGGGCCCACGCCCGCTACGCGCGGCCCTACCAGCACGCGGATGCGCCGCCCACCGTGCCGGCCCTGGATGCCCTCCGGGCTGCCCTGCAGAAGGCGTATGGCTGCCCCGTCCTCCAGGTGGGCAGGAATGTGCACGGTGCTTCCCCCGCCAAGGAGAGCCCGGCGGCCACCAAAGGGGTGCCCTCCTGCCCCAACGTGCTGCAGGCGGAAGCGCTGCTGGAGTCGGCCGACACGCTGTACGTCGTCTACCCGTACGTGCAGTACTGCCTGCACGACATCGTGACGTTCAGCCCGGCCAAGCTCACCAACAGCCACGCCAAAATCCTCTTCCTCCTCTTCCACGTGCTGCAGGCCATGAGGGCTTGTCACCAGGCGGGTCTGGCTTGCGGCGCCTTTTCGCTTCGGGACGTGGCTGTGGATGAGAAGCTGTGCAGCCGCCTGCGTGTGAACTTCAGAGAGTACGAGGGACCGAGGGAGGAGGAGGTGATCCTGGAGGCTGGTGTGGAACGAGTGAGTGAGCAAAGCCGTGTTGGGCAGGAGGCGAGGTGCACCACCTGCCAGAAGGACCTCCGAGACCTGGTGTTGCGGTGGGTGCACGGGCAGGTCAGCAACTTCGACTACCTTATGCGTCTAAACAGTTTGGCTGGGAGGAGAATGGGAGACCCCAACTACCACCCGGTTCTTCCGTGGGTGGTGGACTTCACCACCAAAAACGGCAAGTTCAGGGACCTGAGGAAATCCAAGTTCCGTCTCAACAAGGGAGACAAGCAGCTGGACTTCACCTACGAGATGACCAAGCAGGCGTTCGTTGCCGGGGGGTCAAGTGGGGAGCAGCTCCACGTCCCCCATCACATCTCCGATGTCCTTTCAGATATCACCTACTACGTGTACACGGCTCGGAGGACACCCAAGGCAGTGCTGTGCTGCCACGTGAGGTCCCAGTGGGAGCCCAACGAGTATCCAGCCAGCATGGAGCGCATGCAGAGCTGGACCCCGGATGAGTGCATCCCGGAGTTTTACACAGACCCCTCCATCTTCCGATCCATCCACCCGGACATGCCCGACCTGGACGTGCCGTCGTGGTGTAGCTCCTACGAGGAGTTCATCGAAGTTCACCGGATGCTGCTTGAGAGCAGGGAGGTCTCCCAGGACCTCCACCACTGGATTGACCTCACGTTCGGGTACAAGCTGCTGGGGAAGGATGCAGTCAAAGAGAAGAACGTCTGCCTCCATCTGGTCGACAACCACACGCATCTGACGACCTACGGGGTGGTGCAGCTGTTCGACCAGCCCCATCCCAGGCGCATGGTGGGACCTGCCTACACTCCTGCTGAAGCTCCAGCCATTGCCAGGCCTCTTCTCCAGAACATCCGGGAGACCGTGTTTCTGGAGGATATCCAAGGCCAGGTGACGGATGCGGTGAATGGGCTGGTCCTGGAGGCTACTCCCAGTGAAACCACCTGGTCTGGGGAGAAGTCCGTCGCTGGTGAGGATGATTTAGAGCAAGGCATGGAAGCCCTGGATTCGATTCCTGCTACTGGTAGAGCTGGTGACCAGCCCTCTGCTGCTGCTGTGCCTTCAGCACAGCCCTCCACCTTCCCTGCTTATGCCACTGACGGCAAATCCTCAGGTGCCCGACCTCTCCGCCGGAGCAAGGCAGGAGCTGGGGATCAGGCTGACATGAAAATCACACTCCCTGAAGGCTTCAATCCACTCCAGGCCCTGGAAGAACTGGAGAAACTGGACAATTTCTTGGTTAAAGGTCTAAGCAGCGAGATGCAGCTAATGGAGCAGCCGTGGGAAGAGCCACCGCTGGGTCTCTCGGATCTCTTCCAGAGGGACATGCAAGCCTTGGGCATTCTGGTAGCTGAGATTATATTTGCTCCGAGGATTCGCCCATCGAAGCCCGACGCGTCGCTGTTGGAGCGGTTCCTGATGGTGCGAAATCTGTGCCGTTACCATCCCAAGGAGATCCCAGCCCCGCTCCAGCACGTGCTGCATGTCCTGCTGCAGCTGAACGTGCCGGTGGAGAAGCTTCTGAAGACCAGGCCGGGCAAGGGCACAGCGCAGTTGTTTGAGTACAAACCCATCTCCCAGGGCCTCCCCCCACCCTGTCCCATGCAGCTCCTCAGTCCCTTCAGCTCCATTGTGCCCTTCCCCACGTACTTCCCAGCTCTGCACAAATTCATTTTCACCTATCAGGCAAAGAAGGTGGAGGATGAAGGCCAAGGCCGGGAGCTTGTTTTTCAGCTGTGGCAGCAGCTGGAGGGGATCCTTTCTGAAATCACTCCTGAAGGCTTGGAGATTCTTCTGCCCTTCATCTTATCTCTGATGTCTGAGGAGAACACCGCTGTCTACGCAGCGTGGTACCTCTTTGAACCCATAGCTAAATCCCTCGGTCCGAAGAACGCCAATAAATACTTGCTCAAGCCACTGATCGGAGCGTACGAGACCCCCTGCCACCACCACGGCAGGTTCTACCTGTACACAGACTGCTTTGTGGCCCAGCTGATCGTGCGCCTGGGGCTGCAGTCCTTCCTCCTGAACCTGCTGCCCCACATCCTGCAGATCCTCGTTGGCATCGAGAGCTCGCGGGAGGAGAGCAAATCCCTCCTCGGCGCGGCCGAGGATGATGAGAGTGGAGGGGAAAGCCCGGTGTCGTGTGTGTTCGGGGAGGAGATCAAAATGGACGTGGAGCACAGCTCTGCTGCACTGGACCTCCTTGACTACACCTCTGGTGTCAGCTTCCATGACCAGGCCTACCTGCCTGAGGCTGAGGAATTCCAGGGTGGCCTCTATGTCGGGGAATCTCTGCAGCCTCAGGAGCAGGAATCGCTCAGCCTTGGCCGGCTGAGTGACAAGAGCAGTGCCAGCGAGGTGTCCCTGGGAGAGGACAGACCTGCTGACGGGGATTCCCAGAAGGACAAGAGCAGCTTGAAGTCGATGGACAGCAGCCAGGACCTGAAACAGAGCGAGGACTCAGAGGAGGAGGAAGAGGAGCATGAGGAAGAGGAGCACGATGACGCTGTGGTTGATGCAGAGCTAACAGTGGTTGTGGATGCTGGTGCCTCTGTGGATGTCACCCTGGCTGATGACAGCAGCGAGCCTGAGGATGGGGAGGGAGAGGAGCTGCCGGATCACTCCGATGACAAAGAGCAGACAATACTGCTGGGTAAGACTGCCAGTGTTGAGCCTGGGCAAACATCCACTAAAGGGCAGAGCCTGGGAAGAAGTGGGTCCGGATTTGGGGTTGTCTGTGGTGCCAGCTTGGGGACAGCGATGAAACCAGCGTAAAAGGCCAGTTCTGCCTGTGGATCTGAGACTCAAGGCGCTGCTCCTGGGGCTGGCAGGGTCGGGGCAGCAGGCGGGTGATAACTAATCTGTTCTGTGCCGGGCTCTGTCCTTGCAACTGTTTTTGTTTTGCAGACACAGCCTGTAAGATGGTGAGGTGGCTCTCAGCCAAGCTGGGCCCGACCGTCACGTCCCGCTTCATCGCCAGGAACCTGCTCCGTCTGCTCACGTCCTGCTACGTCGGTAATGTCTGCTCCCTGCACCCCGGGGTCCCGGGGTGGGCTGTGCCCCAGATCTCTCTGCTGCTGGC